GGGGGGGGGGGGGGGACGGCTGAAGAGGTGGGCAGGGCTCCAGTTAGGAAGAGCCTGCTACGGAGTTTGGACTTTATCCTGAGGACAGTAGGAAACCTTTGAAGGAGTATAAGCAGGGAAGAGATGGGTTAAAATCTGCACGTTCTCAGGATCGTTCTAGTTGACACTGGAGAGAAGAGGGAGATCAGTTAAGAAGCTATTGCAGTAATTCTGGGGCTAGATGAGGGTCTGTGAGAAGGGCGAAGAGACCAGTATGTTTCATAAGTATGGGTGAGGGAGCAGATGAGAGGGGTGCTTCTGTACCCAAAGGACTGGATGGAACAACCGCTCCTCTTAGCTCTAGGATGCTAACTGGCTGCAGGGATTTCTCAAGAGAATAAAAGATTGTGGCTCAGAAGGCCCTTGGCTTCTTTGCAGGTGGCCTTGCAGAGGAGGTGGACGACAAAGTTCTTCATGCTGCTTTTATTCCTTTTGGAGACATCACAGATATTCAGATTCCTCTGGATTATGAAACAGGTGAATCCTTTTAGTGTCTCTTATGGTCAGAATCCTACTGGGAAAAGAACTATTAAAAAAATGTTTAAGTCCTATCATAGTGTATTATATGGTTGGGATGGAGGAAAGTTCTGGAGGGTGCTCAGTAGGGCAGCATGACAATGATCTTGATGCAGAAGCAGTGCTCTGGGCTTGTGGTTGTGAACTGTAACATAACTCGGCATAGGCCCATCTATTGAATTTGAGATCAAACAATTTTCAGTAGCCTAGTAGGAAGATAGATTTTGAGCTACATGGGTCTCAAAATGGACCTGTTGTTTCAAACTATCTACTGGGTACCCCACTATACCTGCTCCCTTCTTGGCAGCTGTGCTATTATTAAACAGGGCAGCAGGAAAGCCTGGCCCTAACAATGGGGACTTGGCCACTGTGCACCTGGGCAAGTTTTCCTTTCATAGATACCACAGTTACAGTTCAGTTTTCTATTTTACCTTTGCTGTCATTTTTAAGATTGGAGTTTTGGGCCCAGCTCTATCATCGACCCTGCATGGATGTTAGCAAGGTCTTTTTTTTTTTTAATATATCTTTATTGATTCCAGAGAGAGGAAAGGAGAGGGAAAGAGAGAGATAGAAACATCAATGATGAGAGAGTCACACAACCTGGGCATGTGCCCTGACCGGGAATCGAACCCCGATCGCCTGGATCCCAGGTCGACGCTCAACCGCTGAGCCACGCCCGGCCGGGCAGCAAGGTCTTTAAATTCTCTGGGCCTGGGATCTTTACCTGTAAAAAACAAGAAGGCTGTAATTGGTTCTGTAAAGTTAGTTGGGTGATTAAATTAACCCTGTTGTGCTTGGCCTTTCTAGGTAGTTCAGCATTCTCCTGAGGATAAAAAATGAGTATCCTTATCCAGGATTCATCCTTCATGTACAGTTGATGCCCAAAATGTATATTTGGAATGAATAGGTTAAATGACTTCATTTTTCTATTCGTCTTACATGCAAAGGTTAAGGTTTTAATATGGCTTTGGTAGAATTGAATGCTTATTTTAAAGATTAAAACTATAGTTCATTATTTAGCTATGTTCACTTAAAAATAAAGTTTAATATAGCTTGAAATGTTTAAACTAGGAAGAATTAAAGAATGAGATTTCTTCTTCTGAAATAGGGGTTGGGTAGAATTTCTAATGTCTGGCTATGGCTTGTGACTGGCTTCACTTTCCTTGTGACCATCTGTTTCTTCCCATTGCCCTAAGCAGTAATTACTTGTTTTTGTGTTCCCTTTTTTCAGAAAAGCACCGAGGATTTGCTTTTGTTGAATTTGAGTTGGCAGAGGTGAGAAAATTCTGTTTCCTATGTTTCATCTTTGGCTCATGTTAGTGTTATTACTTATTACAAAGGGAACTGTTCTCCATTTGGTTAGGTTTCTGGGTCTCATGCTGATGCTTCCAGAGGACACGAAGTGCTCTCTGAAGAAAAAGTTCCCTCACTTAATCAAATTGTAGACTGTGGTTAACACCCCAGACCTGCCAGGTCCTGCCCCTCTTGCTCCTGCAGCCCTGCTCATGAGCGTTTTTGCCTGGCAGCACTGGCAATTATTTCTTATGCCTTCCACTGGGTGGCAAATTGCTGTACCACCAGCTCTAAAGTCAGCCAGAAAGCACTCTTTGTTAGACATACACGCAACCTAGGCAGGAAATACAGAGGTGACTTTTTCCTGTTTTGATTTTTTTGGGGGGAGGGTTCTACCCTATGTTTAGATACCACAAGAAGCTAAATTTGTACGTTGTCTTTTCTTGGCAGGATGCTGCAGCAGCTATCGACAACATGGTATGAACAGTAATCTTCCTTCTTGCCGAAGTTGGTTTTGGTGGTACAGAGGGGTCCTTGTTCATATATTGGTTTGCTGAACCTCCAAAGATACAAGGTTGCATGGGGAAGTTAAATTGTCATTGTGTGAATTAATCACTTTAATAAGATTACTCCTTACTCAAACATCCTTCCCCATTTAACAATAGTATAAATACTAATCATCCTCATTGGCCAGTCTGTCACTGACCACCCCATGTCTAGGATAATAAATTGCAAACACTATTCAAATTAATTGCACAGTGAAATTGCATATTTTGCAAAAGAGGGAGGATTTCATGAAGTGTTAGACCAGTTAACAATTGATAAGAGAAATTCAGTAAGGATCGTGACGGTGTGGTACTGATGCAAATGATTTTAATGTCCTGGAGAGGTCCTGGGGGAAATGATGAAGCTCTTCAGTATTTGTACCCTCTTTGAGATCCCTGTGCTTTTAATATCAGATATAAAGTGCGAAGATGTCATATACTGTTGATAGAATTTTGTTGGAAAAAATACTGCAAATTAATCAGCACCCAGTACATATTTGTTCTATAAATTCGTGCATAGTTAAACCTGTATTTGAACTATAAGAAATTTATTTTCATTATTCTTAGTTTCATCACAGTAAAGTCCCAGTCAAACCTTTCTTCCTTTACTTTTTACCATGAAAATTTTCTTCACTGCTCTAAATTGATTCATGTTAAGTGGCCTTTCCTAGTACCAATTGCCTTTGGATAGCAAGGTTCTCCTTTATTCCTGGTCTCTCTTACCCATTCACCGAACATATTCCTCAGCTCTTGGAGAGAGTTCATTTCTCACCATTTCAGAGCTGATCTTGACTTCTGCAGGTGAACTCGGGTACTTGGAAACTATTTTTACCCTGAATCTCTGACCCCGGAGTTACTATTGGTAGCACAGTTCTTTGCTGGCATTGAAAAACAGGAGGTGTGTGATGGCTCCAGGGAGGCAACTCCCTGCAGCCCACGGGCTGCTTTGTGGTGGGTGCAGAGCTTGCTGTTAGGGGCTCAGGGATTAAGGGAGAACAAATCAGGAGCATGTCTCAGGTATATCAGTAGCAAATGGAAAAACTGTCTGACTCTCTTTTGCCCTAACAGAGTTTAAGCAGCTGAATTTTCAATCTTTTCAGAATGAATCTGAGCTCTTTGGACGGACAATTCGTGTTAATTTGGCCAAACCAATGAGGATTAAGGAAGGCTCTTCCAGACCAGGTGAGAGGGGCCACCACAGATCCCCCATTGTGTCCTCCAGTGTGGCCATAGTTGCGTTTTTATTCCTATTACATGGAAGTAAGTGCTGACTGCCACTCCTGGTGAATAGGAGTAGAGGATGGTTCACGTTGCTGAAGGGCACGCACCACCTTCATGGGGAATAAAAAGAGTCTGAGCTTCTCAGGGTAGTTGTTTCCATTACAGAGAAACTCTGCGTGATCCCTGATCTTTCCCAGTTTTCTCATTCCTGGGGTGTTCCACCAAGGGCTAGAACTGGCAAGACCTCGCCTTGCCCTTTGACATCGCTTTTTCACGTGGCCCTGTTGAGAACTGGCCTTCGGGGCTGCCCTTCCCAGTGGAACTTGCCTTGCCCTTGGGAGTTCCCCAGCGGAACCCTGAGGCCAAGAGGGCTGCAGAGTATGTTCCGCTTTGCTGACCAAAGCAGCCGATGAGCAGTGGGCTGAGAGCGTGAGTCCCTTAACATCCATTTGCTTCTTTCCCTTCAGTTTGGTCAGATGATGACTGGTTGAAGAGGTTCTCTGGAAAGACTCTGGAAGAGAACAAAGAGGAGGGGTCAGAGCCTCCCAGAGCGGAAACGCAGGAGGTGAGATCGAAGGCGCGCTTCTGCAGGGGCGGCTGGCGCTTCCATAGGAGACTTCTTTTAGTTTTATGAAAATTTGAAAATACATGTCTCCAAGCAGAGAGAATGAAAAATGAATTCTTAGTACTTTGGTGAAGGCGGTGTTGAGTGAACTAAAGAGAGAAGCTTTAAGCCTCTCGTCTTTGCGCTCTGCGTAATGAGCTTGCCGGCTTCTCAGCTCGGTTTGGGTACTGACTTGTGACTGGCAGCTGACGGGGAGGGAGCCCGCCAGGAGGAAGGGTGGTGAGTGTGCCTCTTCACCCCTCCTGATAGCCCCCCTCCTTCACTGAAGCCTTTGATGACAGGCTCATGGTATTCCTGGTCTTGCCCAACACAGGAGAGTCAGGACAGGGCAGTGGTACCATCCCTGCGGTCTCTACACAGTTTTGACGCTCTCGCTTCCTCAGAGAACCCTGCCTTGGCACTTTCTCCTGGTTCTCAGCATGCCTCTCTCTCTGATCATTGCTTCTCAGGCTTTTTCCCTCCCCATGTGAATGTTGCTTCTTGCTTGGCTCATGGCATCACTCACTTCTTTCAGCCAAAATGGTGGCTGATTTTTCACATCCTCTCCTGTGCTGTTGACTTTCATGGTCTCTATTTCTAGTGTTGAGATTCGGACATTGTGTGCAAGCCTCACGGGCAGCTTGAGGCTGCCTGAAATGGGCACTCTCCCTTCTCCAATCCTTTTCTTCCAATATTCTCAAGCTTGTTAATTTGCCACCATCCATCCACACATTGACCCAAGCCAGAAATTTGGATACAAAGCAGAGCACATGAATGGCCCTCACAGTCAGTGGAATAACCCTAGGTCATCTAGACCCCTCTTTAAAACAGAGACACTATATCATCACATTCTGCTGGTTTTTCTCTTAAGTCTTCCTTGAGTCCCTCCTCCCTGATTGTCCCATCATCCTAATTAGCCTCTCGTCTCTAATTACCATTTTGGGTAATTACAACAGCTCCTTAACTAGTCTTCTGGCTGGAATCTTGCTCTCCTCCAGTCTTTCATAAAGACAGCTACAATAATCTTTTTAAAGCACAGGACCAATCATCTGACCCTGCTGGGAACTTTTCTGTGGCTCCCCATCACCTGTCCCATGGGATAAAGACCAAAGGGACTCTCCAAGTCTTGACCCTGCCCACCTCACCTCGCCACATTGCAGTCCCCACTTTACACTCTGGTAAAACGAGGCCTTTGTATTTCTCTCTTTGCTTTTGTACAGGCTACTCAAGTGCTTATTGCCTTTCCCTTTCTAGGCAGCAAACTCTGTGAGGATAGGGGCCTTGTATCATGCATCTTGTTAATAAGGATGTCAGGTGGGGTAATACAATTAAGAGCATGGACTGCCAGGGTGGTATGAGTGGTTTAGGTTTGAATGCCAACTTTATCACCATCTCTGTGATTGTGAGCAAGTTACTAAACTTCATTATGCCTCGGTTTCCCCATCTATAAAACGGGATAGCAGTGGTCCTGACCTCCAGGGTGGTTATGAGGATTAAATGAGCTAAGATACCTAAAACATTTAGAATAGTATTCTGTACATGGTAAGTGCTATGTGAGTATTTGCTGCTACTACTATGCTACTGCTACTGTTAGTAATAAATGATAGTAATAATATCCCCAGTACATTTGTTAAACTAAACCACAGACAAGTTACCTTTGACTTTTCTTTTTGGAACAAATGTGATGGATGCATTAAATGTCTCTTATCCTCTGCTTAGCTTTGTCCACTTGGGGATAAGGCAAGGCCCCCCTCAACTCCCTTCGTTGTCTTCTGAGCACTTAGGCCCAAGCCAGAGGGCTGCCCTCCTTGATTCCATTGTAGCCAGCCTTTGGATACACAGAGCTAAGCACAGAAGGAGGGGATGGTGTCACATGTGAAAGGGTCCATTTAACTGGAGTGAGGTGGGTGAGCTTGAGCTGGGTTTGGAGGCGCTGAGACTTGCATTGGGCCAGAACAGTGTTACTCCGTGACTGCAGGGAGGGTGGAGCAAGCCGAAGGGTCTGAGGGGAGTGTGATAAGAGAACGTGCCTGCAGGGTGGGGCTCACATTAGTGCTGAGGTCTCCTGTCACTGATGTCCAGCTCGGTGCTATGGCCACGGCCTCTGCCTCCCGCAGGCCTGTCGGGGCCAAGACCTCCCCTGTCGGCACTTGCTCCAGCCTGCTCCCTGCATTTGGGTTCTGGGTGTGTATTCAGAAGAACACTCGCTGTCCTATTCGGGGAGCGAGGCTTTTCTCTCTGACATAGCGATTTCTTTTGCACCTAGGGAGAGCCCACTGCCAAAAAGGCCCGGTCAAATCCTCAGGTGTACATGGACATCAAGATTGGGAACAAGCCAGCTGGCCGCATCCAGATACTCCTGCGCTCAGATGTCGTTCCCATGACGGCAGGTGAGCAGGCTCCGGGCAGGACTGCAGGAAGTGCTGGCTGAGCAGTGAGCCTTCCCAGGGTTCTCCGATGCCTTAGTTCTGGTGCCCTTGACATTGTTTCTGAGCTGAGTAGATTCAATCCTGAAATCACCTCCTCACCAACACTTGTTATTTTTTGCTTATCATAGCTATCCCAGTGGATGTGGTGTGTCATTATGGTTTTGATTTATTTCTCTGATGACTAATGTTGAGCATCTTTTCATGTGCTTTATTGGCCATTTGTATATCTTCTTTGGAGAAATGTCTATTCCAGTCTTTTGCCCATTTGTTAACTGGGATGTTTGGTTTTTTGTTGTTGAGATGTAGGAGTTCTTTATATATTCTGGATATTAAACCCTTATCAGATATGATTTGCAAATATTTTCTCCTGTTCTGAGTGGCCTTTTCACTCTAAGAATGTCCTTTGATGCATAAAAGTTTTTAATTTTGATGAAGTCTTATATATATATTTTTTCTTTTATCAGTGCTTTTTGGGGCCATATTTAAGAAACAGTTGCCAAATCCAAAGTCACAAAGATTTGCCCCTGTATTTTCTTCTAAGATCCTGTTTGATTTTTCTTTTAGAAAATTACCACCAGTTTAGTGTGGAGTGGAGCTAGAGTGCATATCCTCAGACTCCCCTGTAGCCCTTTAAGATACCAGGATCACAAAAACTTAAAATGAAAAATTTTTTAAATAATAGTTTTCAGAATCTAGTTACAGAGAGGTTTTGTTTGTTTGTTTAATATATTGATTTCAGAGAGAGGAAAGGAGAAAGAAAGAGAGATAAAAACATCAGTGATGAGAGAGTCATTGATTGGCTGCCTCCTGCACGCCCCCTACTGAGGATCAAGCCTGCAACCCAGCCATGTGCCCTGACTGAGAATCGAACCTTGATCTCCTGGATCATAGGTTGATGCTCAGCCGCTGAGCCATGCCCAGCCGGGCTGTTAGTTTGTATTTTAACCTGAGCGCCTTTTCCTTTCTCCACCCCAGAGAATTTCCGTTGCCTGTGCACCCACGAGAAGGGCTTTGGCTTCAAGGGGAGCAGCTTCCATCGCATCATCCCCCAGTTCATGTGCCAGGGCGGCGACTTCACGAACCACAATGGCACCGGGGGCAAGTCCATCTATGGGAAGAAGTTCGATGACGAGAACTTTATCCTCAAGCACACGGGACCAGGTGGGACCTGATGAGTAGTGTGACAAGTGGGGCCCAGGCCAGGGCAGGACAGCTGTGCAGGATGCAGTGACACTGCGGTTCTGGTCAAGGGGTCGGGTTTGGAGGAGACCCAGCGAGTGAACAGAGGAAAAGGGTCAGCCTGGCTGGAGCAGGCTTTCCCTTCACCACTGTTCTGGAGCAGCGTCTGACACAATGTAAACACACAGTAGATATTTGAATATTTAAAACATATTCGCAGGCTGGTGTGTTAGGTGCCAGGCGCCTGCTCTGCTCGGGCAGTGAGAGGAGAACGGGACAGTCCGCGTCCCGGGGAGTGCGGTGCAGAGGCCCAGTGAGGAGCACCCGGGCCTCAGACTAAACTCAGATGGCCCCTCCTCCGGAGCGCCTTTCATGACAGTGGCACCAGCATACGTCACACACATACACACACCCTCGCGTGACTGCCTCTGTGCTTCCAGTGTGTGCACAGATGTCTGTCCCTGAGCTTTGCTCTGTCATGGCTGTCACAGCACAGTTCTCTCTTGAGTGACTCTTGTCCTCTAGACTAAGCTCCACCACAGCTGGGACCCCTGTCCTCAGGGCTCAACACGGGTCTGGTTACAAAGTAGACAGTAACTATGTGTTGAGTGAATGAAGGGTTAAATCAGTATAAAATGATTGAAACAACCCTGCTCACCGTTTCACTGTCGATCAAGTGGAAGACAGGCATCCGCTCCGTCTGTCCGTCCAGAGTTGGCCTGGTGAGGGAGCCGGGGTGGAGGGAGCTGACCTGCTCCTTCCCTCCCCCAGGCCTGCTCTCCATGGCCAACTCAGGCCCAAACACCAACGGCTCCCAGTTCTTCCTAACGTGTGACAAGACGGATTGGCTGGACGGCAAGCACGTGGTATTCGGGGAGGTCACGGAAGGCCTGGATGTCTTGCGGCAGATTGAGGTGGGTGGCTGCCCAGGCCCTCGGTGCACAGCCCTGTGGGATGGCGGGAGCAGCCCCCCTGTGGCCTGGAGAGGGGCCCAGCTGCTCCAGGAGGAGCTGCCTCTGCTCAGGCTGGGCATGGGAGGGTGAGTGTTCCTGAGCCCCCTTTAATCTTCACCCTCCCTCCTTGGTTTCTTTTCTTCTGCTCTTCCCACAAAGGCCCAGGGCAGCAAGGACGGGAAGCCAAAGGAGAAGGTGATCATCTCCGACTGTGGGGAGTACGTGTGAGAGGCACTTTCTCTGCACTGCGCCTGTGTATCCAGGAGTCGATGGCCCCGGGGATCCAGCACTTGTTAACGGGGTCTGTGCTGTGGCCCTTCTTGGGGTCAGCTGGGAGCATCTCCTCTGCAGGAGTGGCCTAGGCTTCCTCTGGCTCTTTCCCAAGCATGGCTGTGGGCCCAGGTGCCACCCTCCCCACCCTGGACGGCCGTGCGTGGCCTTTCTAGGCCTTTGCTGCCAGGGCCTCTCCTGGGCCCCCCAGTGTGGTTCCTGAACGTTTCTTCTGGTAAAATAAATCCTAGTTGCTGTACTGCTGCCTCCAGCTAGTTCCTGGGAGTTGTCAGAGATTGCACTGTGGCTAAGCCGTGATTCTGAGATAGGCTGGTAGAGGTAGGGCATAGTGTCTTCCCCATAGCTTTCCTTTCCTTTCTTGGGACGATTCCCTGAGATGCCAGGTGATATATCTTCAAGCCAGATATTCTTGTCAGACCATTGTCAGGACAAAGAAAGTCAAAGACGGTGGAAAAATTCCCATTTGTTGCCTCTGCTTCTAAACTGAAGCTGGCTAGTCATAGCCAGCAAGTGTACTTACGAGTCTCAGGGATTCAGTTATTTGTTCACTTTTATTCTACAGAATTAAAAAGGTTACATTTATAACTCAGAGTGCCTTTTCCATGCCAGATACTATGCTTATGTGTCAGGACACAGGAGGTCAGCATACTACCTCAGTCTAGTCCAGCCTGCTGCCTGTTTTTATGAATAAAGTTTTATTGGAACACAGCCACATCTTCGTTTACTTAGTGTCTCTGGCTACTTTCTCACTACAGCGGCATTGTTGAGTAATTGGTGACACTGAATGGTCCCAATATTAGAGTTCTCCAGAGAAACAGAACCAATAGGACATTGTATATATGTATATGTAGAGAGAGACGTATTTTAAGGAATTGTTCTGTGATCGTGGAGTTGTCAAGTCTGTAGTCTGCAGGGCAGACCAGCATGCTGGAGACCCAGGGAAGAGTTGATGTTGCAGTTCAAGTCCAAAGGCCGTCTGGAAGCAGGATACCTCCTCCCTTGGGTGAGGCCTTTGCTGCTAGGACTTCTCCTGAGCCCACCAGTGTGGTTCCTAGACATTTCTTCTGGTAAAATCTGTTTATTCTACCAAATAAAGTAAATCCCAGAAAAAACTGGTGACCTCAGTCTTTTCTCTCTTGAGGCCTTCCCACATTATGGAGAGTAATCTGCTTTATTTCAGCTGTACCGATTTAAATGTTAATCACATCTGAAATATACCTTCACAGCAACATCTGGACTGGTGTTTGACCAAAAACTGGATACCATGACCTAGCCAAGTTGACACTTAAAATTAAGCAACACAGCCCCCAAAATATTTACTACCTGAACGTTTACAGAAAGTTTGCTGACCCCTGAATGCGATAAATGGTCCTACCCCCATGCTGAGCTCACAGTCTGTTCCTGCTGTGTGCAGCCACTGCCTGGAGCCAAGGTGGGCTGACTTCTTTCCCCTTCCGTATTCTGGTTGGCCAGGTGGTTTTAAAGATCCTGCACCTGCCGAAGGCTCTGAGCAGGGACTGAGTCCTGTAGCCACACCGTTCGGAATCCACTGGGCTGGGTTTTTTAATCTTGGGATGTGCAGGAGGCAGGAGAGGCCTGCTGTCCCCTGGCCCTGTGAACCCAGGATAGCTCCTACTTGGGATGATGGCATTCTGGCCCTGCCTCTGGCTCCCATGTACCAAATGGACTCCCAGCCTTCAGCTGAGCTCCCTCTGCTGCAGTTGGCCAGGTTTCTGTCTCCCTGTGGCTAGGATGTGCCACATGGTTACCCCTGAGCTCCCAAAAGAGACCCTGCAAGCAGAGGGCCCCATCAGTGTACGCCACAGCCATGGCAGGTCACTCACAGGTGCGGGCAGGCTTCAGTGAAGTGGGGGTGATGGCAGTGACTTCAGGGCTTTTACAAGAGCCAGGAAAGGATGTGTATGGAAAATTTAGCACAGCCAGCTTCCCGAGAGGACCAACTCCTGTGAAGATGACCCTGCCACTTTCTGCTCTTCCCTGAAGGCCTAAGGAGATTGAGACCAATTTTCCTAAGTTTGGAAAGCTCAGCAGGTTTGGAGTCATTAGATGCCACCTCCCCTCCCAGGGGTCTACCAGGGTGTCCACTGGTGTTACCTCACTGTGTCCACACCTGAACCCTCTACAGAGGTAAACCAAGGCTCAGGGTACATGACTGCAAAGGTCACCCGGGACGTGGCAGGGCTGAAACCAGAAACTTGGCCTGTCCCACACGCGTCATAATGAAGTCCTGGGAGGTTTACTGGGCTCTAGGCTCAGTCTACGGCAGGGAGGCCCAAGGACCTCAGCCTGAGGAGCCGAAAGCTGGCTGCCTACTTCAGCTACTCAGCATAGCACCAGCCCCTGTTGCTCAAGGGGACTCTGGCCTGTGGGAAGTGGACCCCAGCGTGCTGTGGGGCCTTTGCTGCAGCCTGAAGGTCAAAACTGCTTTCCTGGGACTGCCTGGCACCCATCTAAAGTGGCCTCCTAGTCCACAATCCTGTAGCCCCAGTACCAGGGCTAAGGACATGGGGTCAGTTATGCTAATTCATCCCCTCACCAACTCCTTTAGGGTCGGCCCTGTCCTTGTGCTGGTTTCTGACAGCTGCACCAAGAGACGCCGACTGCGGTCCCAGGACCAGTCCTGACTGCTGGAGTGTCCTCCCTGACAGCATATCTGCCTCCAGAAGCTGCTGGCTCAACACATTTGTCAGTCACCCCAGCTGGGGGAGGGATTGCGAGGCCTACTTTTCAAGTGGTGAAAACAGTCTTGTAGAATTCAGGGGACAGAAAACTAGGAAGCCATGTTTTTAAAAAATATTTATTAATGGAAATTTTCACCATATAAGAAAGTGGGAAAAGCATATCTCAAAGTACTTTAATACAGTACTTTGTAAAAATACAAATTTTTAAAAAATACCTATCTATAATATGTAAACATCTATATTTATATGTATATCCAAAGGGGGAGAGAACAAAATAAATTCACAAAATATTAATAGTGTTTATCTGAATCGTAGGACTACGGTGATTTGAATTGTATTTTTTTAATTTAAACTTACCTCCAAAACTGCATTAGCTTTGTAGTAAATGAAAAACACATTTTTAAAAAAGGGTCAAGTGCTTGCACAAGGCCTTTGCATAAGTAGGAAAACCTGGGATGGACCATCCCCTGCCAATTGCTCAGAGGCACTTGGTTGGTGCTGAGCGCCCCCTACAGGATAGTGGGATCCCCATTTTCACAGCCCTGGCCGTTGCCAGCAAAACTGGGCACTTGCCTCAGGCCTTCCAAGCAGGTGAGAATTCAAGTCCTGCCCTCAAGGGATGGCAGTATGTAGATACTTTATGGCAAAGCCCATCTCTGAAGTAAATACACCATCACCCATCACCAAACACATTCTGGGAGGAGGTTTAGCAGACAAGCATGGAAAGGGCTCAAAATTAGCAAATTCATTTGTAATAATATCAGCAGGTACCAGTTGTTAAGCATTTATAATCCAGACATTGCCCTAAATGTTTATGTACATATCCCATCCTTATAACAGCCTGGAAGGAAAAAGCCAATATCCTGCTGTACTAAGAATCAGGATTCAAATCTATTTGGCTCCCAAAACCTGTACTCTTGCTATGCTGCCTCTTTCCTGATTCTTAGGGATTTTTCCAGAACATGTGACTTCCCTACCTTAGTTAGAAGACAGTGAACACTGACATTCTGTCCACTTGGTCTCAAGGCCAGGACTGCACTGCAAATACCACGGCTGCCGTGCACTTCTCCTTAGCCTGTGCTTCCATGGATCCTCCCTTCCTGCCAACTGTCATTGATTCCTCATTGCTGTCAGTGGGTCTGTACTGACCACCCTTATTTATCCCTCTGGTCTGGCGGGACCAGATAAGCCATGCCCTGAGCAAGAGGAAGGGAAATAGTGGCATCTGTGCTCCGCACGTGCCAGCCAGGGCCACCCACTGTAGCTGCCATGCTTGGCTCAGCAAGTAGGTAATTCATGGAATAAAATGCATGGGCTCTGTGTCCACAATTATTCCACTGCTCAGGGCTTTTTCTATTTGATTTCATTTGGTGACTAGATCTCAGAAGTTGCTGGAAGTCTGACAGTCAGGTAGGTAAGCAGTGGCTTACTACTTTTCAATTGTTCTACACAAAAAAGGAGGATTGCTACTCCTAGTCATTCCTGCTGTGCACAGCTTGCTAGGGAAGGTGTACTCCATATCTACAAACCTTTGGGTAATTTGACAGACATTTCTGGTACACCCCAACCCACACCAGACCATTTGGGCACTAAAGATACCAGGGGAAGTAAAAAATTAGTTGTCAAAATAATTGGCAAATTAACAATTTTACAGTTACCTAAAAGACAATCCTTGATGTCGGGAAGAGAGAACTGTCACATAAGTACTAGAGTGGCAAATAGGTTCCATATTATGTGCCAATTCGTGACGGCCACCTGGTTCATGACTTGGATTTGTGATGGCCACCAGAGCTCCAAGTTCAGGTTATGAGGCTGCATCTGGGCTCAGTGCTCAGACACAGATACCCTGACTGAGGCCCTCTGGAGATCAGAAAGTCCCTGCCTTCATGTTAAAGGTGGGAAATGGGGCCCAGAGGAGGAAGCCACCTTATAAGTCAGGTCTCCTAACATCTGGGCCAAAGCTTAGATCCCCACACTGATGGGGAACTCACTACCTTCAAGACAGTCTGGGTCCCTGTACTCGCTCCCAGAGTCCCCCCCAGGTCCAGGTGTGGAGGCTGCTGTCCCGCAGCATGGCCCAGCCTCCGCCCCTGCTCCAGACCTGCTCTCCCGGAGCCTGTCCTTAGGGATGTGTCCTTGGGCACATGGGTTGTTCTGCCTCTCTGGGCTGTGCCTGTGGGTTGGGGTGGTCCCAGGATCTGCTATTAATGACACAGTATTTCAGGGTTTGGGCAGCTGGACTCTGTCTGCTCCAGCAGGTAAATTACAGGTTTAGCAAGTCAGAAATCAAATAAACACTCCAACTGCCTCAGCTGCTCCAAGAACAGTGGTTTCCGGGAACCTCCCCACCCAGCTCATCCTAATTACTGCCTGTCACTCCCCTGGGACAGGGGCCTTTTCTTTGGCTCACAGGCCCCAAGAAACAGGATGAGGCTCCTGGACACAGAGGGTGATACAGACTTTGGTGACCAGCCTATTTTTGACAACTTATGGACACAGCGGGTGCTGACAAGCCCCTGCCCTGGCCCCATACCTGGCCACAGGCTGCCCAGTGTCGCAGACACATTGCTCTGGGTGGAATGGACTGATCCTTAGCAGGAGATGGAAAACAGTTTTCACTTCCATGCTAACTCTAATGTGCTGGCAGTGGCTGCCTGGAGTTCTGTGCTGATCACATTGGAATTTATCCAGATTTGGAAGGAAAAAAAATATCAAGGTTGATTATTGACGTCTGCCATGCAGAAGGGAAAGGAACGTGATATCATCTGTGCTGGACACTGTCACCCTGGGCCACCCAAAGTATACCTGGCTCAGTAAAAAGATAGCTTCCCCACAGAGCTGAATTTCCAATGGTTCAACACGGTGACAGACATGGGTCACTAAAGCCCCAAAGATTTTTTGTTTCTCCAAAGGCAAAATTTCAATACACTGCAAAACTTCCCCAGAAATCAGAGACAGATTACCGCCAGGAAGATGGAAGATAAATGCCATTGGCCTTAGCCCTAAACCATGTTGCTCATCCAGCTCTTTCTGGAGTTGCCCCACATGCTTCCCCGTGGCCAGCAGTTTGGTAATTCCGATCCACAAATATAGAACACAAAGGGCAAGTCCATGCTTTTTTAACAGAAATTACTAGTTTTGGGCCTGGGAAAGGCAGGCAACCAGATCCCCAAACCCCGCAACCGATAGTGGAGGACCTGAGGTGGCCTTCTTGGGCTCCAGGTGCCTCTCAAGTCATCCCACATCTGCTGCAGCCTGGGCCAGCAGGGGGACAGTCAGCATGAGCCACTGGGGGAGAGGGCTGGGCAGAACCCTGCCTGATGACTCAGGCCACGAGGACTGGACCCCAGAATCTATCACGACCTCAGGCAGGAGAGGGGGCGGAGGGGCCTGAAAGGATCCAGCCCTGGAAGGAAGGAAGGAAGGAAGGAAGGAAGGAAGGAAGGAAGGAAGGAAGGAAGGAAGGAAGGGGCATGGACATGTTGATCTCTGAGGACTCTCCGTGCCAATCCTGTCTGTGGTCTGGCTGGTTTGAGGGTCTCAGCCTCTGCAAAGAGACTGATCCAGGCTGGAGGCCCTGCAGCGGCCAGGGCGGGGCCTCAGTGGCAGCCACAGGCCTTGACCACCATGTTGCGGTGTTTGCGCAGGATGACGTTGTTGCTGCTGTCATAGTAGAGCACAGAGGTGGCGCTCAGCTTGGTGGGCGCACAGCACGCCTTGGGAACCGCGTCCGGCTTCATCAGGTGCACCTGGCCGGGGAGGGGCGGCAGGCAGAGGCGTGAGCACTGCGGCCTCTCCCAGGACCTGCCCAGCCCCCAGCTCCTGCCTGTCCCCATCTCCAGCCACTCCCCTCCCCCGACCTGCNCTCCCCTGACCTGGAGCCGGGACAGGTGTCCAGTGAAAATCTGCCCTCCTTGACCCCTTCCCTGCCAGAGTCCCTTAGGGCACAGCCGGGCACCTGCCTGCTTCCTGCCACACCCGCTCCCCTCAGACCTGAGGACCATGCTGGTCCCCAGCACACAATGCACCCGATGGCAGGTCCCTCTGCCTGGAGCCCCTGCAACACCGCCCCCCTGGGGGCCCCTCCACTGCTCCCTCTTCTCTGGGCTGCTGTAATGACCCTGATCATGTCCTGTCCACCTTCATTGTTTGTGTCTGTCTCCCCCTCCTGACCGTGATCCCGAGAGTGTTCAGGGATCAACTGGATAAAGCCTCGGATTCCAGGTTCACCCTCGCGTGTTCAACACCGTTATTTCTCAAAGCACTTTTCACCCCTCATAACAGCTTCTGAGGCAAGTGTGATTCTGGGAGGAGAAGAAACAGCGCGCACAGGCCANCACTTTTCACCCCTCATAACAGCTTCTGAGGCAAGTGTGATTCTGGGAGGTGCAGAAACAGCGCGCACAGGCCGCGGGAGCTGTGGCAGGACTTGGACCAGGTGCAGGGATCCTGCTCCCTCCTCCTAAACGCTTTCCCACCAAGAAAGCCTGATCGAGGAGCTATTTCAGCCTCCATACAAATATTTATCCTGAGACTTGGCAGGATGAGCCGTTTACACTGGACCCTTCGTCAGGGCCCCACACTGACTGGCCCAGAAGGGAGCCCGGAGCTCTGAGGGGCAGGAGAGAAAAGGAAACCTGCTTCCATCCGTGTGCATCGTGGCCAATCCGAGGGCCCAGGACCTCCCAGCCCTCACGAGGCTGCCGAGCTGGACCTGGGCAAAGCCTGGTCCCTGTTCTCCATGCCCAGCCTTGTCCCAGAAGCCCAGCTCAGAGCCAGTCTGCCAGGAGGACTGTCAGCCGGGCACTGGGCTGGCTTGGAGCCAAGAGCCTCTCTGCGGCCCACTGGGGAAGCTGAGGCCTCTGTGGGGATGTCCAGCCAGATGGACATGGGGGATATTGCTCCCCAACTTCCCAGTTCCACACGTGGTGCCTGGGCTTGGCATTCCTAGGCTCACGTGAAAGGAACCAGGCACCACAGCCCTGGTGTGCCAGCCACGGGGCTCTAAGGGGCTGGAAACCGGGGAGGCCTCTCCTGACTTGGGACGCTGGAGAGAGAAGTCCCGCACCTCAGGGGTGCTGCCTTTCTGCCACTCCCCCTCGCCCAGAGCTCTATTGAATCAACAAAGGAAAGAGAAGGGGCCTTTTATTCCATCTGGCCCCAAACAGGTTGATTTGCAGGGTCTAATGGGCCATTCCATTCGTTTTTGAGCCATTAGGAGGTGAAATCAGAGGTTATTTTGGGTACATTTCGGTCATTTGTGGGCCTCAGTTTTCTATTCTGCTAAATGACCACAATGGTACTTATTTCTCACGCACATGCTTGTGGCTGCCATGCCAGGGCAGGGAGCACAGAAATGTCCCAGACATGGCGCCTGCTCTCATCCTCAAGACCACGTTAGGGGCCCCTGCCCACCCACCGTCACCTCCCTGTGGGCCCTGGGCACTCCCTCCTTCTGCCTGGAAGATTCGTCCTCCTCGTGCAGAGGCCCAGTGTCCCCTTCTCACAGGTCCCACCATCTTGGCTGGCCCCTGGCTCGTGAGTTACTGACAGCCCCCCGAGAGGGCAGCTACTGTCCTGTTTGCACTCATGACAGCCTGAGCCCTCACTCCTGCTGACCAACAGGAGGGACCAAGGGCCTGGACAGAGGCAGGGGAGGGGAGGGACAGCCCTGGAGGTGTGGGCACAGTCATCACCCCACACCCCTCACAGGGCCGGGGAGATGCACATCCATGAAGGTCAGGGGGCCCAGGTGGCGTCATACATGGCCAGTCACCCTGAGTCACCAGGGAAGGCAGCCCCCAGGTCCAGCGATTCCCATCTGACGCTGAGAAAGGAGGTGTCACAGGCTCAAAGCAGCTTCCCTTACAGTCATTAACTCTCACCCTAAGGCGTCAGCTTGACAACCTCTCACTAGGCAAAGACCAGGCTCAGGCATAGTAGGAACTGGAGTCTAGGTAAACATTCTAGAAAGAAGTCTCAACACACACACACACACACCATTTAAAACACTGAGCAATAAGCAGCAGCGACAGTCCTCCCAGAAACTGTTTCGACATTTAAGTTTCCCCAAACACTAGCCATCAAAAGCCACGCCACCTGCGGAAACATAGAAGCTGAGGCGACCAGGAGAGAGAGCCAACGGGGAGAAACTGGAGGGGGCGCCCAAGCCCAGGGGAGCCCTGTGCACGAGGGCACACAGGTGACCCCCCGACTCCCCGGGAAGGGGGTGGGTGAACACAGACGCCTGGCTCTCGCCCCGTGTGCATGTGTTGCAGGAGGTCCAGCAATCCTGTGCACACCGGCGCACGTGTGCTCAGCACACACAGGTGCCCGGGGGATGCGTGTCTGTCCTGTGTGTGTGCATGTGGCCACAGCAGGCTGCCTTTATGGGTCTGAGTCCCCCACGCGCACCTGCCTGTCCTCACGTGCATTTGTGTGCACGTGCGTGGGCACCGGCAGCGATCTACATACACAGCGCGGCCACGCGGCCCGGCGCCCGCACAGGTGCGGGGGTTTAACGACACGTGCGCGCAGCCAGGGCTCCACGCGGAGAACCCCCGAGACCCGGCAGGTGCCCCGTTCACCTCGGGCTGCCTGAGCCGCTCCTCGCCCCCCCCCCCCCC